CATTACCATCATCATCATCATCATCACCATCATCATCATCATCATCATCATCATCATCATCATCATCATCATCATCACCATCATCATCATCATCATCATCATCATCATCATCATCATCAGCATCATCCTCGTCATCGCCCTTTCCTCCCCTTCTGTTTCGCCCGAGGTGGCCTGCGGGGCACGCAGCTCGCCGAGCTCCCCACCCTCCCCCCCCCGCAGCCTCGGTGCCAGGCACCCCTGCGGCTGCTCCTCCCCGCGGCTGCGGCAGGCTCGCGCCGCGAGGACCCCGGCTGTGGCTCCGGACACCGCGCGGATCGGTCGGTCGTGAAGGACCCGCGGCTCCACCATCCGCCAGATCCTTCCACAGTGGCCGCTCCTGGTCTACCATCGCCAGATCCTTCCACAGCGGCTCCACCCACCGCAACAGACCGTTCTCCACGGTGGCCGATGCTGGGCCGCTGGCCGCAACGCCCGCGGCGGGCGCCGCCGCCGCGCCGGCGCGGCACGGCCCTGGCGCACCCCTCCTGCGGCCACGCCTCCCGCGGCTGCCCCCGCCGATCCGGCCCTGGCCCGCCGACGGAGTGCGTATCCGCCCCTGGGCGTGTTTGTTGCTTCACCTCGGCCTCGGGGGGTCGGCTACACGTGAGAGTGGCCCTGGGCAAGAGTGACCTTTGGTGCGCGGCTTCGTGGGGGCCGCGGGGGGGGGGGCCAACACACAAGCGGGCGAGACGCTACTGCCGCCTCGCGTTCGGCGATCGGGGACCCCAATGTGCCGGCGCCAACGGTCACTCCGGCAAAGGGTCACTCTTACGTGTAGTCGAGGGGGGCCACCTCGGGCCCCTGGACCCTCAGGCCTGCGCCCGGGAGGAAGAAGACTGTCCCTGGGGAGGTGGTCGGGACCAAGGAGGAAGAAGACTGTCCCGGGAGGAAGAAGACTGTCCCGAGCGGCCCGCGGGCTTGCATCGAGAGTCTGGGTGCCGATCCCGCTGATCGTCGGCGAGCCCAGGGGGGGGGAAGCGAGAAGGGGCGGGCCTCCTCAGAAGGCTCGGAAGTCCCCCAAGCCTTCCGAGAAGTTTTGTAGGCCCCCCGGCAACACACAAAGCTTCTCTCGAAAGCCTGAGCAGGCCTTCGCCTTCTCACTTTCCCCCCTCGCTCGCCGCCGCACTGCTCGTGCAACTCCCTGGGTCATCCCTGCGAGAGATCCCGCAGCCACTCGCACCCCACAACTGTGCTGCTCTCGGTGGCGTGCGCTCCCTGCAAGGCTCCGATCCACCTGCTACCGCATCCTGGGCGAGCCTGCTTGAGACGATTCCTCTCCGCTTCCCCTCCCCCTCTCCCTCCCTACCCTGATCCCCATCTGTCTCTCTCTCCCTCGTCCTCCTCTCCCGCTGCATCTGCAGATGCGCCTCTCCTCCTCCCTCAGCAGCGCCCTCCTCCTCCACTACATGTCCTAATAAATCCCCCTCGTACCCCGAGGCTAATCGAAAGGGCGGACTGGGCGTCTCCCCTGAGACTTCCTCACCCTTCATGATCCTGAAGCTTGAAGTGTGCAACATCTTATCTTCACGGATGGAGGGCGAGTGGTTTTCACAACGTGGCTCTCGCACCGGTGCCGCGCACATTCGTCTTGAAAGCTTACAGCAGCTTGACGGATGGAGGGCAGGCCGCTTTCAAAATGTGGCTCTCGCCTTACCGCCGCGCACACTCGTCTTAAATGTTTGCACCACTTTCACGGATCGAGGAAAGGAGGCCTTCAAAAGGTGACTCTCGCCTTAGCGCGGCGCACACTCGTCTTACACATTGATAACATGTTCACGGATGGAGGGCGGTTCCTTTTCAACATGCGGCCCTCGCCAAAGCGCCGCTCACATTCGATTGAAGAGCGTACAACATGTTCAAAGATTCTCATGGCTCACATCCCAAACATGGCGTTTTGGCACGATGCCGGACTGTCGGGGCGTAACAGTTACGTTGGTTCGTGGTGTTGAAGCCCCAAGAATGGTGTTACGGCACAGGTTTAGGATCGTGAAGACACAACAGTACTCGTGATTCGCGGCGGTGAAGTCCCAGGAATGCTGTTCTGGCACAGTTTGAGATTTTCAGACGGTTGTCTACCAACGGGGCACTTCCCTCAGTGAGAATGAACCCTCGTAGGGGCCTGTGGAGAGGAAACTTGGAGGGAGGGCTTATTGCCATATCGTTGATGGGTCATGGGTTCACACTGGTCCTCCTCCTCCTCCTCCTCCTCCTCCTCCTCCTCCTCCTCCTGCTACTCCTCCTCCTCCTCCTCCTCCTCCGCCTCCTCCTCCTCCTCCTCTGCCTCCTCCTCCCCCTCCTCCTCCTCCTCCTCCTCCTCCTCCTCTCCTCCTCCTCCTCCTCCTCCTCCTCCTCCTCCTCCTCCTCCTCAACATCATTCTCCTTCTCCTCCTCCTCCTCCTCCTCCTCCTCCTCCTCCTCCTCCTCCTCCTCCTCCTCTCTCACTCACTCACTCACTCACTCACTCGCTCACTCACAGCCGACCCTGAATCTGCCCCGGAGCACAGCCTGACCGGCAGGACGAGGCGGATCCGGCAGCGACGGCGGGGGCCACCCGGGAGGGCCCGGGCCCCCGCAGAGGCAGAAACGCCAATATCACCATGCCTCGCATCCTGCTCCTCGCCATGACTGAAGGGGCCCCAGGACACAGAAATAAATACACACAAATAAAAATATTCCCCATATTTTCCCATATCTTCTGGGTTTTAGTCTTCCCCCCCCCACTTCGCATATTTTCCCATATTTTCTTAGGAATCGACGATTCCTTGTGTCTGTGTGCTTTTTCCCTCCTGAATGACTGTCACAATCTTCCCTCGGCCCCGCGGGCCTCCACTAGCTGCACCGCCATGTTCCATCGCGGGACGCTCCACTGCAGGTCCAGGTCCATCCAGTCCTCATGCGAGCGGCGCCGCGGCTGGAGGAATCGCAGCGGGCTCCGAAGCGAGTGTACGGGACAAAAAAAAAAACACACAACAAAAAAAAAAACAACAAAAAAAAAAAAAAAAAAAAAAAACGCGTGGAGCAGGCCAGGGCGCTGGCCGGGAACCCGTACGCACCCGAGCGCGGTGCATCAGGTGGCAAAAGGGAAAAACAGTGACCGTCTGGCGAAAGGCCTCGATCGAGGGGGACCTCAAGCCGAGACGGGCAGCTTGGGTCCGACGGGAGGGCAGCACCAATAGGATGACGCCGAGCCAGGTATGCATATACACCGATCCTGGCCCAAGACTGCCGTCCTGGGGAAACATAAGGCGAGGGGCACTCATGGGCTGAACCCAAAAAGAGCCTCAAGACGCAAAATTAGTGAACCGAGCTCTCCACACCGACGCATTCTCTGGCCCTGCACTGACATGTGCGCAGGAAAGCAGATCCTGGTGTATACGGGATCCTGGTGTCTACATGTTTCGTTGTTCCCCCGGGAAACGTAAAAAGTAAGTACACAGCACTCATCACTCCGACGTCGTCCCCGACCCTCAAGAGAGGCATGATATTGAAAAAAAATCCGCCACTTGTTATGTTTCTGTTCCAGTTTCCAAGATATTGTTAGTTCTCCTCTTCGGTTTTTGGAAAGTTTCCACGTTCTCGCCGGTTCGGGCCTCTGGAAAGCCCACGTCCCGGCCCAAGACGGCCCACGAGACCCCCCAGGCCCCAAAGAGGGCCCTGAGGCAGCAAAAGAGGGCCCAAAGACGACCCAAGAGGTCCCTAAGACAGCCAAAAAAAGGACATCTAAGAGGGACGCAGGGCCCAAGACGGCCCAAGAGACCTCAAGGCCCCCACCTAAGAGGGCCCCGAGAGAGCCCAAGAGGCCCCCAAGACGGCCCAAAAAAACATTCAAGAGGGACCCAAGAGAAGCCCATGAGGTGGAACTCGCAGGGGCCCCAGGAGACCTCTCCGACAAGATGGCCCCCAAGACACCCCAACATGCCAGCAGATGCCCCCAAGAAGCCTCCACAGGGCCCCCGAGAGCCCCCAGGAGTCCCCAAACGGCTCCCAAGAGGCCGGCCCCGATGCCCCGCCAGCAGCAGCGGAGAAGAGGACGACGAACCAGCAAGAACTGCACGCAGGCAGCGCGACGCGAAGCGGCAAACAGCACACACGCTTTTTTCGTCGCAGCGCGGCAGAAGCACCCAACACGCGCGCTCAGCAAGCCGGGTGACGGCACTGCAAGTGGCCCGGATGCACATGGGAAAGGAGAGGAAAGAGGGGCGGCCGCGGGAGGAAGGGAGGGGACTCGCGCGCTCACGCAGCGGGCCAAACAACACTCACGTGGTCGGCGAAACGGCGCAAGCCTTTCCAGCACACGCGCCGCACTCTCTGAGATCCGACGGTGCAAAACAAATAACATTATCCCAGTGCGACCCTACCTAGGAGTTGGAGCATTTAGGAAAGCAATATCTACAGCTATGCTATGCTATGCTATGCTTCGCTGTACGATGCTAAGCAATGATATGCTATGCTACGATGTGCTGAGTTATGCTATGATATGTTATGATGTGCGATGTTATGTGATGCTGTGATATGCTATGATATGATATGAAATGCTATGATTGGCTATGCTATGATATGATATGATGTGATAGTGCTGCGCTGCGCTATGCTGCGCTGCGCTAAGCTAAGCAAAGGTAAGCTGAGCGATGCTAACCTAAGCTAAGCTAGGCTAAGCTAAGCTAAGCTAAGCCAACCTAAGCTAAGCTAAGCTAAGATGAGATAAGCTAAGCTAAGCTAAGCTAAGCTAAGCTAAGCTAAGCTAAGCTAAGCTAAGCTAAGCTAAGCTAAGATGCTATGCTATGTTATGCTATGCTGTGCTGTGCTATGCTATGCTGCGCTGTGCTATGTTAATCAATGGTATGCTATGATATGCTATGTTGCGCTATGCTATGCTATGATATGCTGAGCTATGCTGTGCTATGCTATGCTATGCTTGGCTATGCTCTGCTATGAGATGCTGTGCTAATGCGGCGCTGCGCTATGCTGCGCTGCGCGAAGCTAAGGTAAACTAAGCTATGCTAAGCTAAGCTAAGCTAAGCTAAGCTAAGCTAAGCTAGGCGAGGCTACGCTAAGCTAAGCTACGCTACGTTAAGCTAAGCCGAGCTAAGCTAAGCTAAGCTAAGCTAAGCTAAGCTAAGCTAATCTGAGCTAAGATGAGATAAGCTAAGTTAAGCTCAGAAAAGCTAAGCTAAGCTAAGATAAGATAATTTAGACTAGGCTAGGCAAAGCTAAGCTAATATAAGCTAAGCGAAGCTATGATAAGATGAGATAAGCTAAGCTGAGCTAAGCTAAGCTAAGCTAAGCTAAGATGAGATAAGCTAAGTTAAGCTCAGCTAAGCTAAGCCTAGCTTAGCTAAGCTAAGCTGGGTGAACCCAGGGGACGTCACTGGGGGAACCGCGGGGCGGATCCTGGGGGAACCGCCCGGGGCGAGCCCCACTGCCCGGCCCTTTAAGCATATCGAGTAAGAACCCTTCTAGGCAGAGCCTAGGTAGGGAACAAACAAAAAAACACGCCCGGAGCCCAGACCTTGTCTTCCTGCGTCATTTCTCGAACCGGATCGATCCGTGAGGGTCCCAGGGCCCGAAAGCCCTGCGAAGCACGCCCGCTGTGAAAAAAAAGTTGCCACGCGCCCGGATCGGAGGCCTGGAGCCCAGCACTGCCCCGGGCGTGGCGAACGCTCCCCGGGGCCGGGGTCCCAAACTGCCCGCTCGGCTTCGGTCGGGCACGTCCTCCTGCAGGCGGGTTGGGGACGAAAACTCCAAGAACAAGCAGAAAAGACTCAAAAATGATCCATCATTGTGGAAAATCCAAAAAACAAGCAGAAAATACTCTACAGTGAACAGCAATTGTGGAAAATCCAAGAACAGGCAGAAAATATTCAACAATGATCGGAAAAAATCGTCCCCGTTCGATGCTTTGGCTATTGCTGGCTCGCGCTGGTGTCGCCGCGCTGGGGCGCTGCTCCGCGGGCCGCCCTCGGCACGGCGGGTCTGCGGGCGGGCCGTCGCCTGGGCGCGGGGCGACGGCCCTCTGAAGGGGCCCTGGGACACACAAGTAAATACACACAAATAAAAGGATCCCCCATATTTTCCCATATTGTCTGGGTGTCTTCCCCCACACTTCCCAGATTTTCCGATCTTTTCTGGGGAATCGACGATTAATTGTGTCTGTGTGTTTCTTTCCCTCCTGACCCTCTCGAGCCGAGACGGCTCGAGTCAAAGGCTACGGGCGCGCGACCTCTCCGACTCGCCCAGCAGATGCTTGGCTGCTCATTCTGGGGACCTTCCTGGAGCCACTCGCTCCACTCGTGCGTCCAAGCTGCGTCGAACGTCCGTCGACCCGAGTCGACCTTGAGTCGAACCCGAGTCGAACTTGAGTCGAACTCGAGTCGAACTGGGGTCGAACAGATCCGTCAGGCGGGCGCCAGGAAGGTCCCCAAAACGAGCATCTGAAGATGCCACGCCCCGAGGTGAAGCCAGCTGCCCGGTGCGAGGCGCCAGGAGGCCCGCGCACCCCGCCGGAGATCGCCCCCGCCCGGGAGCAGCCGCCTCCCTGCGCCTCGCGGCGCCCCGCTGCGGGGCACCACGAGCGCCACGCGAGGCCCACGCGCCTCTCGAGGCCCTGCACGCGCTCGAGGGGCTCGAGGCCCCCCCCCCCCGCAGGTGTGCGCGCCCGCCGCTCGGCGAGAGGCGCCCTTCACAGCGCATGCTGCAGCGCCCCCTCGAGAGGTCCGGGCGGCCCGGCGCGCGCCTTCCTCCGCTGCAGCCGCCAGCTCCGCCCACACGTCGGGGGTTGCTAGAGGTGCCCCAGGCCCAAGGTGCCCCCAGCTTTTCGCTCCGTCTTGGAGCCCCGGGGGCCCTCGGGGCCTCGTGGAGGGTGCTCTGTGGAGGCCGTGGGGGCCTCCTTGGAAGTCCTGGGGGCACCTTGGGCCAGGGGTACCTCTAGCAACACCCGAACACAGGGGGGCCGCCCCGCACGCAGAGCGCTGCAGTGGCGCGCCCCGCCTGGACGAGGACGCGCGCCGCCGGGCAGCGAAGCCCGGGGGGGGGGCGAGCGCGGCACCGCAGCGCGGTATCGTCTGCACTCGCCCGTGGGCCTCGCCCTCGGGGCACGAGCCCTGGAAGCGCAGCTCGACGTGCTCCGGCTGCTGCGCGCAGCATGGGAGGAGCAGCTGCTGCAGTGCCTCATCTTGAGGCTCCCTGCTGCATGGGGTGTACTGAGTTCCCAGCTAGTCTTCAGCTCGTTCGTTGCCCCCAGCCTTCGTCCGAAAACCAGCATGAGGAAGGAGGATGAAAAAAGATTGGAACGAAGAGGGGGGAGAGGGGGGAGAAAGAAGCACCGTGTCGGACTGGTCGCGTCCTCCTTGCGAGGAGACGGGGTAGCGGCAGGTGGAGAACGGCGACGATGACGACCTAACAACAAGGTAACATTGATAGAGAGCTGAATACATGGCCGTCCTTGTTCTCGACATCAAGCATGAAGAGGTCGTTGAATTGCGTCTCGCTGTTCCACCCTCCGAAGATGTAGATGCTCCCCTCCTTCGGTCAACTATGCTGACTTGTCTTCATCTGCACACACACACACACACCACCTCCGCGGGAAGCATGACCCCTAACTCTCGGCCACGCAGGCGCTCGAGGGCCGCGCGCTCGGGGATGTCAAAGTCTGCACGCGACAAACGACATCCGCACCCGTTCATGAAGCGCGCATGGAAACTGGAGGTAAACGTGCAGATGCACACACACACACATTTATACACATACATATACATAGATGTATGTGTAAACAAAAATATATGTGTATATATATGTGTGTACGCATCGAACACTTACCCCAGCGCGACCCCGATCAGGGGAAAGCTTACTGTTGCATGGGCGCAGTGTTTGTCAATGCTCGGCATTGCTTGGCATTGCTTGGCTTTGCTTGGCAATTGCTTGGCATTGCTTGGCAGAGCTTGGCATTACTTGGCATTGCTTAGCATTGCTTGGCATTGCCTGGGGATCAGGGGGCGGGGAACACGAAGAACCTGGGGAACCCGAGGAACCTCGGGGAAACGGACAACGTAACAATAGGAGGCACCAGGGGCGGGGAACCCGAGGAACCCGAGGAACCCGAGAAACCCGAGGAACCTCCGGGCAACGGGCAAAGTAACAATAGGAGGCACCAACCTCTAACCAAGTAAGAACCCCTTACGCAAGCATAATTGGGGGAATGGCACAATCACAATTATATGCGTGTGACGCACGCTGGCGAGTGGCTGGAGAAAGATCCTGAGACATGCATACGTGACAGCTTGAGGCTCAGAGGCGACCCTCCCAGTTACTTCTGCTAATACTACCCTCGTTGCCCGCGCTCCAGCAGGTTCGGCGGAGCGAGCAGATCAGACTGCTCAGACCACTCTGCCGTGGACGAGTGGGCAGCGGTATGGGGGTCCCCAGCCGCCTCCTCTCCCTCAAGCCCCCCTCCTCCCTCCTCCCGCAGCGGCTGTGCGAAAGCGCCAGACCGTACGAGCTTGAGCTTTGCCCCTTGGCCTTTGCGGGCTCATCCTCCCTCCCGCTCTCTCCCTCTCGCCCTCTCTCATCCTCTCCCTATCTCTCTCTCCCTCTCTCCCTCTCTCACTCTCTCCCTGTCCCTCCCTGTCCCTCCCTGTCACTCCCTCTCCCCCTCCCTCTCCATCTTGCTCTTCCCCGACTGCCTCGGCCGCGCTCCCTCCGCCATGCCACGGCTCCTTCTCGAAGGACGCGTGCCCGGACCGCGGCGCTGGCGGAGTTCCTGCCGTGGCTTCGGCTCCGGGGCCGGCGGCTCGGGGGGCGGAGGGAGGGATGGCAGGCCTGAGCTGGGGATCGGACCGCGAAATTGGCTGCGAGATCGGGAGCAGAGCGGCTCGCCATCGCATCGGACCGAGATCGAATCGCCGCACCAGGCCTGCGGCTGACCCCGGCCGATGCAAGCGAATCGGGCCGAATCGAAACGAATCGGCATCGCGGCCCCATTCGGCGACTCCAAAGGGTGTGGCTTGCAAAGGGTGTGGTTTGCAGCCGGCACCCTGGGGAACATCCTGGGGGGCACCCTGGGGGGCACCCTGGCGGGCGCGCGGGAACCTCGATCGAGTTCTCCCGCGCCCCGGGGAGGCCCGACGAGGACGGCGTCGTGCCCCCCAGGCCCCAACGGTACCGATCGCAACAAACACCCCGGCGCAACCATACCCTTTGTAGTCGCCGACCCATGCCCAGCGCAGCACGGCTCGAGCTTCGAGGATCGAGGCTCTCGGGCGTGGCTCGTCCTCTTCGGAGGGCCTCCGTGGGGGCGGCTCCGAGCCGCCACGCTTGGGCTCCCCTCGAAGCTCTCGGTCGGGATGGATGGAGCCCGGGGTAGGGGGGGAGGAGGAGGAGGGAGGAGGAGGAGGAGGAGGAGGAGGAGGAGGAGGAGGAGGAGGAGGAGGAGGAGGAGGAGGAGGAGAGGAGGGAGGAGGAGGAGGACAAGCAGGAGCAGCAGCAGCAGCAGCAGCAGCAGCAGCAGGAGGAGGAGGAGGAGGAGAACAAGCAGCAGCAGCAGCAGCAGTAGCAGCAGCAGCAAAAGGGGGAAGGGGGGAGCAGAAGCAACAGGAGACGAAGCAGGACCAGGGCCGGTCGGGTCGGGTCGGGAGCAGCGTGCGCAGAGACGTGCCCAGCGCAGGCTGCCGTAAGCCTCCCTCGAAGCCACCAGTCGCCTCTTCCCACTATCACAATCAAGCGCGACTTGTCGCATGTTACCATCTCATTTGATGTTCGCCAGCAGCACAAGGAGGAGGTTGGGTAGTAGGATAGGGTTTGAGAGGGTTCACAAACTTCGAGGGGGTCCAGGGGATTCCAGGTGGGGTCTGAAGCGGTGTAGGGGACCTTGTGTGGGGACCTTGGTGTGTCCCAGGAGACGCAGGGGAGGGCGAAGGGCTTTCAAGATACTTCGCTGGCTCTCGGTGGCTTCCCGAAGGTTCTGGTA